AAAGATGACCACATATTGTAATTGATTCCTGTTAACTGAGTTGATGTTAATTAGCCTTATAATCTTAACCCCATCTCTTTAGATTGAAACATTAAAAAATACCCTCAACTACCTACCTTTCAGAGTTAATAATTAACTTGATCTTGAATCATATTTTTGAGAAGAAACTTCTTCTATTTCTTATTTATATATTTAATACTGTAACTTCTAGGCAACTGTAGATTTTATATTGTTTGCTCATTAATGGACAAATAAAAAATGTAAGGACATTATTCATTGTCCTTGAATAATACAGTTGCTTACATAATATTTTATCTTATCCTGTTGACTTTATTTTGGTAGGCTCTCTTTAAATATATTCAAACCAGCCCTTTCATGAACTTGAATGTTATTCAGAATTAATTGTGAAAATCTTTTGCTGTGCCTTCTCTTCAATCCAGTCAAAATTTGTATTTTTCTTAACACTGCCAAGTGTTAATTATTTATGTTAATTATTTCCTATTAAGTATTTTCAATTGTTCATTGTACAACTTTCATAACAAAACCTTTGGTAGGTCAAGGTACCATCATAAGTGACTTTACGTGGAAATGGAAACTGAGTAAAAACGGAGTTCTACAAGATTTGAAAGTATATTTCTCCCTAATCTTGATTGAAAATCACACAGGTCTTCCACTCTTCTGGACTTCTGCAAAATCCCGAGGGTTCTCTTTCCATGAAATAGTGCAACTAATGTGCAAAAATCCTGCCATTCTGAGTAGGCTGGAACACTGCAAAGGTTCTCTCAGACCAGGGATGGATCCAGACCTGGTTATCTGGAACCCAGAAAAACAATTTGAGGTAATGATGAAAGAGAATTTTACTCTAATGATCTCGAACCTACTAAAGATAGAACTTCTCTGAAGAGCATTTGGTTGAAAAGTTCATTTTGAATTTCTTATATCCATTTAGTTGTTGATATTATTTTATTTGATTTTACTACAATTTGTTTTATTGATTTTTCATCATTATTATTTTATGCGTGTAACTTTGATTAGTTACTGGTTGCTTAAATTGATTTATAGTTACTATGGATGTGACTGACAAGAGATGTTTTTCTCAACTATTTTATAAATCAGTAGGTTTGTATTGATTCAGCCATATAAAGGAGAAATAATAATACTTTGACAGTTACCTTGGGGCCAAACACAGAAACAATAAAGGATATTTATAAAGAAAAGAGTATAAGGAACAAAATATTGTCATTCTAGACAACTTGCAAATTATATATTACCCATCTGAGAATCAAATTTGCCACATCTATGGGAGAACAGTGCAAAGAGTTTTTGCTTTTTTTCAAAAAAAAAGAAGATGAAAAAAAAAAGCTTTTGAAAGTTTCCAGTATAAAAAGCATTACAGGATAATAGTTTCATCCAAACATGCTTGAATTATGTTAACATTTATTAAAGAATAGCCTTGACACCATTAATTTTCAGTCGTTAAATTGCCAATAATTCTGGGATTGCTTTTCTTTGAATGTTTGTAACTATGGGAATCCAAGCCTCATAAGAAAGCAACAGTTAAGACATTCCCATTCTCTATAATACAGCAAAGAATATTGGGATGGGGAAAATATTTTAAGTATAGTAACATTTCCAAAACTCACTTGTACTGCAGAGATTTTCTCTATTGTTTTCCAGGTGAATAAAGACATAATTCATCACAAGCATAAGGTATGGGAAAATCTCATATTTTCAATATTCTTCCACTGCCCCCACCTCCCAAGGTCCTTGCTGGACAATTCCATAAATGCTTTTGTCTTTGATAAGCATAGCAACATACCTTTAGTTCTCCTTGTTGTTTTCCAAGCTATGTTATTTATAGGCTATTTAGTCTTTATCTCTTTCAGGTCAAAAGTCACTATGTCAGAGGGATTGTTCCATTTAGGCACTAGTCCCAAACGTATTAGCAATCACATACATGTATACAGAAGAGGTGAAAATCATTTTTATATCTGGCATCTTAAATTATCAATCAATGTGATGATGATGACCTTATATTCCAAAAGGATGGGTTGGCACAATTCAGATTGTTGTATTGAGTAACTGCAGCCAATTTCTGAACTGAAACTGAGTATAAAGAGAGGCAGGAAAGGTATTCTACACATTCCATTGGCCAGGGACTTGCATTTGGTGGGTCCCAGGAGGCAGGGCTTCTCTGCCGTGGCTCCCTCCTTGTGGAACATTCTCCCTCCTGAAGTTAGGCTCGCTCCTTCCTTGCTATTGTGTAGGAAGTCCCTCAAGACCTGGTTATGTCATCAGGCCTGGAGGTCTTTGGGAACCGGAGACATCCTTAGATGGCTCCACTATGATTAGTATCCTGCTCTCTCCATGGGGTTTGTATATTTTAAAATTTAAAATTTTTAACATTTTTGATAATGTTTTCATTTTAATAATCACTTTTTGTCTTTTTATAATGATTGCTTCTATCCATTTGTTATTTTATTCAATTGTTGTGTGCTGCCCAGAGTTGCTTTGTGTGAAATGGGCAGTTATATAAATGTGACATATAAATAAACAAATAAATCAATAAATAAAAGTCACAAATCTCTCAAGCCCCAAGCCTGATTTTGTCAGAAGAGGGAGGTATCCCCTATTCCATTGCACCTACCCAATGGCATAAGAAGTGCACTAGATGGGAGGCCATAGAAAGAGGAAGAATAGTGTCCTTCAGGGATTTCACTATTTAAAGTAAGGGTGGATAGTCCTTGGGCCACAGGCTACTTATGGCCCCAAACTACTTTTCTGTATCTCCTAGAGCCCCAGTTCTGCACCACTGAACTTTGATGGGCTCGTGCTAAAAATGGGAAGAATGCTTTTCCATTTTTTAAAGCAGAGAACGGAAAGATGAAAATATTTTTAAGAAATAGTTTAAAGAAAATATTTAAAATGTTAAATATGCTTAAACCATGTGTACTGTATTAAGCTTTTAAAACCCAAAATTATCCCTTAAAAACAGGGGGGGAAACCCCTATGTGTCTTCATACCCACCCACTTCAACATTAGAAAGAAAGATGTTTAAAATGCATGATCTGCTGATCTACTCCCCCTTTAAGAATTCACACTCTTCAAGCAAAGGGGTAATGCTTGAAAGAGGTAATAGGCAACAGGAAATGTATTCCTCATGCAGTCTGTCCTGCCCAGGTTTCAACTTCCTGCTGAAGAGTATGAATTATTTCACATATGAAGATCTAGTGACCCTTCAAATGCTGTTGTTCTACAACTCCCAGGAGCTCCAAGCCAACATGATCAATGGTGATGGATAGTGGGAGTTCAATAATATTTGGAGGGCCATAAGTTCCTCTTTTGTTTTCTTCTGTTACTCATATGTTCCTCTCCTGATTAGGCAAATTCTTACTTTGGAATTTTCCATTATGCTAAGCCACTGGCTTGCCTTGTCTTGTTTGTATCTTCTATAGATGAGTTAGAAGTAGTGGCCCAGGATTTTGACTTTTCCATTCTTATTATCCTTATTTCTTCCTCTCTCTCTTTTTTCTTTCCCTTTAGCTGACTCCATACTTGGGGTTTCAACTGTACGGTAAAGTGTTTGCGACTCTTGTTCGTGGCAGGCTAGTTTATTTGAATGGAAAATTTGCACCCACAGCACAAGGAGACCTGATTGTGCCTGAGAGAAAGATGCCCTCAAGAGTTGTCTTACCATACTATTAGGAAGGAAGATTGTGGAATGAGGAACATGCTGTCAAAATGGACAAATCTAGATCTAACAGCAAAACAAGCTAATCACTTAGTTTGGGAAAAGTACAGCAGATGAAAAATACAAAAAATCAAGTGATTAAACACAGCTTGTAATCACAAATGAAAGCAGTAGCAGAAGTTCCTGGTTCTCTGCCCTCTACCCCTTCCCTCAACCACTGAATAAATGAAATGTAATCAACAGCTCCAGCTGATAAGACAAGAGTATGAGACAGTGGCATAGAAGAAGACAAATTTCTAAGTCAGCATCTGCCTTGGCCAAAGCTCATCGCTTCTTACTTTCTAGTACTGTAAATAAGGTAATAAAGAACATGAAAAAAAGAGAAGGACGTAAGTGATTTCTTTGCTTGTAGTGTTTCATCCTGAAATACTGTGTGTCTGAATTTACTTAATTATTAGAGGTAGTGTAACTCACACTGTACACACACAAGATTTTTATTTGTATGGCTACCCACTTGCCAAGCAACACTGGACAATCAATGACTTAAATGGATCAGAAAATACATCAGCCATAACAAAGCTACATATAACTCACATAAGACATATATGTGCTTGACAGTCAGGATGTTCTATGAACCATTAGTACATGTTAGTATATATTAATTTGAGCTATATTACACTATATATATTAATTTATAGTGTGTAATGGGTAGCATTGTGGTATAACTGTTTAAGTCTCCCACAGCTACTATTTTGTAATCAAAAAGAACCCTCAGCAACCATTGGTGAGATTTTTGGTAACATCTAAAAATTTCAAATATATTCTGCAGCTAAAAAGGGTACTAGATAAAGCAGGTTATTTTGATGAAAGATTTTCATCCAAAGTATAACCTTTTGATTTCCTAAACAACATCTAATCCAAAGTGGGATATCCAGTAATGTGCCTGAACTATGTATATTTTCAGAAATTTGAATTGTTCATTCATTTAAATTTAAAGCTCAAGGGCCAGGTTGTAGAATACTGATTCAGTATATGTGAGACCAAATAATGCTGAATCATTTACTTTCTCTTTTGAAAATCCATGAAAATAAAACTCATGCTGTGACAGAGGCAGTGTTCCTCTCTGCCAGGGCTGCACTTCAACATGACCTGCTGAAGCATTTAGTCATTAATGTTATTAGTTGGCAAGAGTTTATTGTGCGTAAGAAACTAAACAGTAACAACAGATAGATGGCTTAAGAGCAGAAGTACAATTAGAAGCTATGCCAGTAAAAGGAAGGATGCTGAGAATCATAGGTGTGGTTTGACGTCTAAACTGCTTCCTGAAAATATAACAACTTAAAAGGAAAACTATGAAGAAGGGAGAGATAGAAATCATCTAGTCAACCCCTGGAAGACAGACTGTATTTACATAAACTAGCTTTGGTCTCTTCCCCACATCCCCTAACCACAGTACAAACATGACTTATAAATTGCTTTTTTCTGCCACTTCTTCATGACATTGCCTTCATCTAGCCTCAGACTATAGCTGAGACAGTTTAAATTCATCCTTAGCTGTTCCATTTTTAAAGCAGTGTTTTCCCTCAATTCCCAACTCCATTTTGGTCATGGATTTGATCTGGTATGCTTCACCAACAACATGGTTGCTGATGCTGTCAGGAGTTGGAATTGTCCCGGCTTCTATTGGCCACATTAGGTTGCTGTGGCCAGGCCCCCTTTCTTCCTGGCTTCTGCCTGACTGATGTTTTCCAAAGCACTTGTCAGATCTTAGGAGGTTGCTTATAAACATGGTTTTAGCATTTTTTTCAAAGGCCACTAGTCCTTGTTGATGGAGGCAGGCAATAAATAATATCAAACAATCAATCAACATGATCCTATATTCAATTGCCAGTAACCTGTAGTGGACTTTTATTTCCTTCCCATCAATTGCCTTTTGTTCCTGCCAACTTCACAAATACCAGGATACTTCCATGTCCAGAGACAGTGCAGATGTGGGCTAGGTAGTCTCAGCAGTTATCTGTAATGGGAAGTAAGAATAACCTTGAGGAACAGGAGGAAAATCTGCAACCAAGGCAACAGTCAGATAAAAAAAACCTGAGTCCAAAGCAGAAGGCTCGACCCTCCCTAGGAGAGAAGGGGGAGGCGCATTCAGACTTGCAAGATTCGGCTACTGTAACCTTATAATAAAAAAGTAGTATTAGCATTAATAATCTTGATTACCTAGTCTGGCCTACCTTGAAGGGCTGACACTGTCTATATCAGAGGTGGCAACCTAAGGACCACAGCCCATCCCATAAACACCCCTGAGTTTGTACTGCTGAAATCTGGCAGCAAAATGGCTGAGTTTCAGCAGCAAAACTTTTTCAGATTTTGGAATGATTTTAAGGTTAGGAATAGAAAGTTGCCTCTGGAGGACTTCTTATTCCCATTCCTACCCTTAACCTCTTCCAAGACCGTAATGGGGGAAAAAACAGTCATGCTTCTTAGGGTGCTGATACCCTTCAGGTGATTCTAGACTATGGATATTTATCCGCACGTTGTGCTTGTGCTGAAGATTACAATGTAGAATTAAATAGTTGAAAGGGGGCATTTAGACCATCAGGACCAACCCCCAGCTCAATGAGATATGCAAATAAAAGCATCCCAAGTACATGACTGTCCAGCTTCTACTTCAACACCTCCAGTGAAAGGGAGTCCACCACCACCATTCTGAGTATTTGATCTCACTGTCAAACAACTTTTATTGTTTGAAAGGGTTTTTTTTCCTATCATGTAACTGGAATCTCCCTTCCTGTAATTGAAATTCATTATTCTGCATCTTGCATTTCAGAATGATAGAGAATAAGTCTTGACCTTAAGTATAACATTCTTTCATATATTTGAAAAATACTATATGCCAAAATGCAACTGACTTTTCATACTCTTCTAGCTTGTTCTGCCCACACTACCGGTGGGAGGGAAAAAATGTACTTAAGCATTCTTAAGCAGTTTTTTTTTTAAACCCTTTATTTTTTTAAACCCTGTTTATTCAAGCATGGTTTGCTTATTATTTTAAAACTGTTAGTAAAAAATCATTTTTGTTCAAATTAAAAATACATTGAAAAACACTGCTAAAATAGCACCAATGGGAAAGCAAACAATGAAGTAAAGCAAAGGAAGAAGACATGGAGACAGGACTTAACCAGCTATGTGCACATTTATTTCTTTATTAAACTTCTTGAACATATCTCAAGGAGTCTGTGTATTCTTCAACATAAAGACAAGAAAGTAGCAAAAAAAAAGAAAAGGGATAAAGAGTCCAGCAAATATCTTGCTAACATAATACCATAGAATATATCATAAAAGCCAGATTAGAACATGTATGTAATCCAAATCACAGGGCCAAAAATGGAAATATCAAAAAACCTGAGAGGCCTTTTTCTGGTAACCAGGAAAGGTCAAAGTATCAAGGGATGCCATGTGCAGGAATAGGGCAATGGTCATGCCCGCTGAAATATTATGCAGTTGTTGCTCACCAGAACTGGATAGTGCTAGATCAGGGGAAACTGTTGGAGATAAGACCAGCGTCTACCTCGAGGCATTGTTAGGTGGCTACTTCAGGCAGATAAGTTAGGATGCAGTGAAAGAACACAAATGGCAGTTATTTAAATTATTATTGTACTTTTACTAGCAGGGAATGGAATAGGCAGGAAATTATACTGTAGCTCAAGTGCCTACTGGCTATGACTACTGGGCACTTGACCTGAACAGTGTGTCTGTGTGCATTTGTACTCACATGCATACAACATTTTCTGTTTCATCTCAAGCAGAAAAATGCCTTAGGTTAGTCCTTCTGAGGCCAGAAAAAGCAAACAGGCAGAGTTATTTGTTAATCCTTTATTAAACTTGAATTTTCTGCTTCTGGCAAACTATTAACAGAAGATCCCTTAAGGGGCTCCAAAGGAATTTTTAAAAAATCCATTGGTTTTATTTTAGGTTCAGTGATTTAAACCATAGTCAGAAACAGCAGAATGATCCAATAGTTCTACTTCTCTCTCATTGTGAAGGAAGCAATGTCTAACTAGGGTAGACAAATATGCGCTTGCCCAAAGAACCCCCAAAAATATCAGAAGCAGAAATATGTTTGCATAATATTTAACTTTCCAGCTCTTAACAGGTGCAGAATTCTCAGGCCAGAGAAGCTGAAACAGAGCTCTCTGGGACAAAACAGAGGGGCAAGAAGTAGGTTGGAAGTGGTGACGCTGTTTCTGAAGTGAATTTACTGTATATTAACAGGAATCTGAAGAAGAGTGACAGAACAAAAGAGGCTTAATACTCAGGCACTGGAAGATTTTTTAGAAGGCTAGTGAAAGAGAGGTGCTGCAACATTTATCTAAGATTTGTTTATTTTGCTTGACTCTAACAACCCTTCTATTTAAGGTCAGCAATGGGCAGTTTGTTCCTAGTGCAGCAGGCAATAGGCTGGTGTCGTGTTCGGCTGCCTGTGGTTGTAACTCAGAGTTTCTGTACCATGTCTTCTCAAAAACATTGGATGTCACCCCCTGAATCTCTACTAAGGCCACTATCTGTCCCAGACAGATTGTTGCTAGGACCTGGGCCTTCCAATTCTTCTCCACGGATCTTGTTTGCAAGTAGCCGACAGCTCATAGGACATCTCCACAAAGAGTTGATTCAGGTAAGGATCATACTTCCAACTTCTCCTGAGATCTGTTCCTCCATCAATTTCCATTCACTGCTTTGTCATCCTTGAGATACCACATTGACAGATGTTCAATTATTCAATATTATTTTATTTTTTTCTAAAAAAAAAACTTCTAATAAACCTTGTATGCTCTAGTATTGATTAAATGTAATCAATACATTTTATTCAATGTATTTCTTAAGACAGAAGCCAGCTAATGGTGAATGAAACAGCTGGATTTCTTTTAATGAGATTTTTTGATATTTCTTAATTTTTCAGAGCTTTATTAAGAACACTCCCATGAGCTCTTGTTTAATTTTGATATACTGAGTAACATTTTATAAATCTTCAGAAAAAACAGCTCTTTAAATCAATTCAACCAAAAAATCCCTTTCAGTTCTGTTGCCTGGAAAGGGTTAGTTTGTTCAAGGCAGTGATCTCAGGCTTAACAGTAGGCATATACAGTTCAAGGTAGAAACCTATAATCTCTCAGATAATCTGGGTAGGGTTTTTTAAGGAACACAGGTTGTTGCTGATGTGTCCTGTATTGATGTGTCCTGAAAACTCATGTGGTCTTAAATCATCAGACACCTTTCTGTCCATACCACAATTTCAAGTTTGGCTGAATTCTAAGTTTTGTCATTACCCCCATACTAAAACACGATTATTGCTTGTTATAAAGTGAGA